GAAGAAAAAATATAACACTAAAAATACTAATTGACTTAATTTTACATATAAAAATATTTTTGCACGAAATAATTTTCATAACAGAAACATAGAAGAATTAAATGAAGCTTTGGGAAAACTGGTATGAATCCACACTGAAAATCTTCTTTGTAAAGTTTGTGAATGCAAGAGGGCTATATAAAAAAATTGGAAACATGTTTCCTGTAAGCGTTACTATTAGAAGAATTATTAAATCATTCCTGCTATACGACTATCTTATTGATCACTATATTTCATATATGTTGGAGCAGAAATGTTACTAATTAGAAAGTGTCAAGATTTACTCAACGGGTTGTATGTATGTACAAGCATGTTTATCGCATTGTAAGACACGTACATCGTAATTATTTTGTCGCGTAGTACGAATTTGCTTTCTAGGGAAACAGTCTGGTGTAATTAATATATATGTATTTATACTACGTAAACGGTAAACTACTATGATAGAGTAGTGTGGATCCCGTTTGGAATATTTATTCTGTTCTCTTCTGAAAATAGATACTTAATCAGGGAAATACACCATTTTAAAGAGAGATGATAGGTCAAATTTTTTACGATATTATGAAGGTTTGTTGGTATTTTATTCATACTCCTGTTCTAAAACATTGATTTCTTTCTGAAAACTGGCCACACATACATTGAAATGTCATACATTTAAAAGAATTTTCGTAAAATAACTATTTTAGTTAGATTGCTCAGTAAGTAGATTATTTAAAATATGAACATTTTAATTTTTAAATATTTTTACATATATACATACTATACATATACATACATATTTTTTACATATTTCCTTCGCCAAAAAAATTGTGACAATTCCAAGAATATACCGTCGATGTTGGAAAAATGTACCTAAATTTATCAAATTTAATTGATTACCTACTTTTTCCTAATAGTTTAGCAATCAATATTTCTTTATTAGGAAGGGATAAAAATAAATAGTTGAGTTAAATAATAGTGATAGCCATTCTAAGTATAAAACAATTCATTGTGTAACGCGAATTTTGCCCTAAAACTAAGTTTAAAATATGAATAAGATTTTTAAGACATCATGAAAACTATGTACCCCCCCTTTTAAATGGATATTTTTCCCTCAATATCAATACGCAATAACAGTTATTTGTTTAACTAGACAGTAAAGTAAAATATTTAATGCCGCGGCTGTTATTTAGTACACGAGGCGCAGCCGAGTCTATTAAAGCAGCCAAAGCATTAAATCTACTTTACTGCCAAGTTAAACACATAATTTTTTCGCCGATTTATTTTATATTATTAAAATTGTATGATACTTGTTTCATGATTAATAATAATTTCATCAGATCGTATGTGGTTACTATGGGACGACTGTTATTAAGTAAATAACTTAGGTATACAGTAATCACCATATTATTCCTATTTAAATCTATAAAATGAACTATTTATTATTTGAGCTGGAATAATTCATATTAACTCCGCCAGAAATTAGGAGTGAATCAGCAAAGCAAATAGAGTGTGATTTATTACCATAAAAACTGAAGAAGGAGAATAATATTATATCTTTTTCGGAAAATGTACTATTGGTATATTTTTCCGAATTAAGCAAAAGTATTAAATCTTCTTTATTATGGTCAATATATGCGATGCTCAAATATTAAAAGCATTCTTGAAACGGCAATCGAATGGATATCGTGCTAAAAATCACGGGTTTTAGAAAATTAATGAATTAAACAATTCCCAATGAAGGCCCCTGATGACACGAATTTAGATACAAAGGTAATTAAAAACAAAATATTTTTGTAAACGCAGATTACTGACTATTATCATTTTAGGTGGCAATGATTTTTGCCATATCTGGGGCGTGTCGGTGTGATCAATTACTTCAAATAAAAATTGGAGATATTGAAGATATGGGAAATAGATTGCCGATCATTCTGCGAACTAAAAAAAGCAAAGAAAAAAATCCTTTATTGTAAGCGAATATTTAGACATACAGTCGAATTTCGATAACTCGAACCATGAGTTGACACAAAGAAAGATCGAGTTATCAAAAGTTATTTAATTGTACATGGTGATTCACTATATTTTGACGCCCCTTTTGTTTTTAGAGTTATAAAAAAATGTAAAATACAAAAGTTGCGCGATTTTTTATGAATTTTTAGAAAATAATATTTGAAAAACAAATGAAATACAAACAAAATGGCCGCGGATGTTAACTTTGTTAATTTAAATGGAACACCTTGTACATTTTTACATATTTAGATAGAATGTTTTCTGTATTCTCTTTAGAGCATATAGGGTTTGTTAGATCCATATCTAAAAATAAGCGAGATACTATTAAAAAGAAAAGAGGGCTTTTTTATTAAGAAAATAAGATATCTTTCAGGCATTTCTGCATTTTTTCCAATTACGTAAAGATTTACAGATTTAGTTCTAATATATTTTGACATATGGGACATTGATGTGGTCCAAAATGCATAGGTATTTTATCTAAATCTCACTAATTAAGCCATGAGAGGTCTAATTACTCATGGACAATGTTATATGATAGGCCGTGACAATGACAGGTAATGTCATGATAACATTGTTATTGACTGACAGTTTGTATTATTATTTAATTTAAATGGGTTACACAGAAGTAGAAAATTGAAATATTATAGGAATTAAAATAGAGTAGACATCTCCATACCCTATTTTAATTCCTGTTATTATTTCAATTTTCTACTTCTGTGTAAACCATTTTAATTAAATAACAATACAAACTGTCATCAAAAATTCGAGTTATAGAAGTTTTACTGCATATCGGAAATATAGCACCGCAAGACCTACACAAATATATAATGACAGATTTAATTTTAAATTTATATTTTTCCTTTAGAACTAAGCATTTTAACTAGAAGCAATAAGTATAACTTAATTACTTAGGTATTAAAGCTTGAACATATACTCTAACGTTATCGTTCAGTGGGCCGTTGTAAAATGGTTATTATGGCGGATTTTATGTGCTAAGATAAATTCTAATCCTCGATGCTAATTCTAGGTTATAGTTATTTCAATAATTGTATTCGTGGTTATACACCGAGGATTAATGCCAACCCTTTCGTAACAGCCTAGTTCCATTTTCCTTGGGGCTAGTCCATTGTGTGACAAAACCCAGTTAAATTAAATAACATCTGTTCAAACGGAAAGTAATTGTAGTGATTAGTTGCTATTTGAATGGTGACGACCGAATGCAAATGGTCGGAACTCTTAACTGCTGAAATCGAAAAATGTACCCAATCTTATCTGTATGTACTTGTTCGCAATGTTATCAACTTTGAGATTTTATTGTACTATTACGAGTTTAAATTTAATGGATTCGTTCAAAAATAACAACGTTTATTTAAAAAAAAACTCGATTTGATTAGAATTTTTTCTGCACATGTCGAAAGTATAGTTATAAGAAGTAAGGATTCCTATATAAAAAGTCATGGAAGTGGTAAATTCCTATTTTTTTTTAAGAAATCGCCTAGAAATAGTTCTAAATACACCAATAGTAAACCGAACCGCAACCTTCTACAGAATCAAAGCTTCTTGAGCACTACTAGAATTACTACAAAGTTTAATGACATATGTCAAATGACTATAAACTAATAAGTAATACACCATCTTCATTACACTGTCATCAACTGAAGGTCGCAACTGTCTTAACAGGAATATTTGTGTTAATAGTTTTAAACATATACATATATCAATATGTGCTGTCCAGTTTAGACTAGAACACCCAAATACTTTACATCCGATTTGGATTGGATTTTGCTAGAAGTAAATAGTAGGTGTTGGGTTTTAGAAACATTTAGCTTCAATTTATTCGCTAAAAACCAATTTTCCAACGCAATCAAACTACCTGAACTCATATCTCTACTAGCACTAGACAATAGTGTGTCAGTCGCAAAGAGGATGCATGTACTCTTAAGAATATTGACCGGTAAGTCGTTGATGTATATCAGGAAAAGCAGAAGACCTAGTAACGACCCTTGAGGTATACCATTACATATAGGAAGTAACGTAGATTCTGTGTTCTTTATACTGACATATTGCTGTCTGCCTGTTATATAAAATAATATAATTTGTAATTTATTGTTACGAATATTAGCCAGGTGATTTTTTTAGCCCGAAACTCTCAAATATTTCGAGAATTAAGCACCCTGCGGAAAAATGTCCATAATCAAAATTTAATGATACCAAGGAGGAAATACGTTGGTTCTAAAATTATTTCTCCTCCCCACTCTTGTAGGTGGGGAGGGGAGTAAGTTTGAACTCTTAAGAAGGAATACCTAATTTTTATTGCAGATTTTGATTCTTCGGCCAAAAGTGCGTAGGATTTGTCTCAAACATTTTTTTCGATTGATGATAAATGGCTCAACGAAATTCAATTTTATCGATTTCTCCTACTGGGAACCTACGCACGTGAGTCTGCAATGCATTTGCAATAAAAGATACCAAGTCAAGTTTGACGTTTAATTTGCAGCCAACTTTTGAATTTTCCATGATTTTAAGTAACACGGCTACAATACGTATTATTTGTGTTTTTGTTGAAAACGACAAAGTTTTTTGAAAACTAACAAGAGTAAGAAAAGTTTTAGTAATAAAGTCATATTAGCCATTTAATGGTGCATCATCCCTTATCAACCCTTTAAAAGGCTTCAATTGAACTCTATTTACTGTCGATTAATGCTCTTGGTACACTCACACTTTGAATTTAGAAAGACAGCATATTATCAGTCAAAATGCGAAAAACTCTATTGCCTGTTTCAATGTACAGAATTAAATCAGTGAATTTTCCATAAAAAGATTTTCCTTATCTGTCCATGACTGGGACATAATAATATTTTAATTTCGATAAAAAATTAACGTAAAATTGTTTTCTTTATAGTTATTGTCAAACCAAGGTCCAATATAATACATATAAATTCACAAATATCTACGTATTGCGAGATAAGCGCAAAATGTACACCATATCAAGATATGTCGCCAGTTCGTTGTTCATTCTGGTTTTACATTTAATAAGTGCCTCATGCTTTACTGTAGACGGTAGGTGACTTTATTTTTGTTTGAAAAAGTCACTTAGAAAATCTGATATGTGTTAAAAAAAAACATCAGTTGTAGTAAAACGTTTAGGACTATTTTTTGATAAGTTTGTTACAGCTTGATAAAATATTTCTTTATCAGATTGCTTCAAGGATGTACAAGAGGGACTTAGGGTCTGTAGGGCCTATATTCCAGTTTTTAAGTGGAACATGGAGCTTCAAGAATGCGATATTGCAATTTACGGAGGTTGTTATCCAACAAGTAATAACTTTAAAACTATAGAAGAATGCCAGTTAGTTACAGAATCAGTATGTAAAAAGTTAAGATATTCTTAAAGTTGTGTGAAATATTGGATTGACTTAATAATAAAGTTAGGTATATATAAAAGAGGAATACATATTATTTTATAACTTAATTTGTGGTTAAAATTGTTGCAATATGTATTATAGTCGTAAGCCAAAGCTTGTTTAACAAACAAAATGTACAAAAGAATATTTTTTCTCTGACTGTGCATAAATCTTATTAAAATAAATTATTTTTTAAAATATGTATATGGCAAGGGTAGTATTAGTATATTGTTTAGGTTTACAACTAATTTTTGTAGACACGTCTTAACAATCTGGATCTCAAAAACATACGTTACTCTAACCAATAATTTTTCGTTATAATATACAGGGTTTTTCACGTAACCCGTTCAGTAAAAGTTTTTGAACTTCCAGTATAATTCAGTCGTTTTAAATGAAATATTTTCAAGTGTTGGGTACTTCCGGTTTCACCGGAAGTGACCTCATCTCCTTTATTAATATCATTTATAGATTCTAGGAGTTATTTTGAATAACTTCTATATGTATTTTTTTTTAATTTTGACAGGTGCAACTTCACGATTAATATTAAATATGTCTAACATCTGTATAATAGAAATGTCATACTTGCATTTTTAGTAGTATATGTTATGTATTTATAGAATATGTGCCGCATTTGACCAAGCTATGCACAGGGTCCTCAAAATTTTGCGGCCACTACAGTAATCTTTAAAGACTGGAAACTTTCTTTTTTCAAATGGAACACCAACAATTTTGTTAGTCAGAGATATGTAGAATTAAATTCTGCATCGATTAATATAGAGGTTTCCTATAGTAAAGTCAAACATACAAACTTAAATTAGTTGCATTTTTGATAGATTTTCTAAGACAATGAGCGATTCAGAAATTATTTGTATCCTCCTCAACTGAGAGGAGCCGCTGAAAATTTGGAAAAAGATTTATTACCTAAGAAGAGTGCAAGGTACGATAGAGTTTATGATGTGTTCAAAACTTGGTACCTACTCTGAAACTATTGTGCTGGCATATTTTAGCGAAATTCCAAAATCAGAAAGCCGTCAACCCTTTTTCCAATCTTCGAATTTATTGCATTTTTGAAAATACAAAATCTAGGATATCTACAATTTCGTTATTCAATGAATGTTGACATTTACCTGGGTTGAAAGTGATATTTGCCTGGGTGGAAAGTAATCACTTTCTACCCTGGAAATATCATAACATTACATATGGTTGTAAATAATAGTTATTTACACCATAAAGGAGGTAAGTATTATTTGCCAGTCGAGGACGATTTTGCGCCCGAGCGGGGCGAGGGCTGGCAATAGAGTCCGGGACTGGTAAATTATACTTAACTGCTGCGTGATGTATAACATTTTGTCTCCTCCCACAGTTGTTTATGGTTCATGAAATAAAGATTAAGTTTTATTTTTTGACATTTCTTGATCAATTCATTATGACGTTATTCGAAATCTTGCAAAGTCGCCTTGGTTGTTTGGATTTTGTTGTTTCTAAATAAAGCTACATAAGAGTTGCAATTTTGCTGGTTTTGAATTATTATTTCTAAATTAGTCATTTTTAAATAGAAAGTACAGCAAATGCTGCTTGCGAATTTTTATTGCCCGAGACGTCTAAAGTGCGCTACCAAAGACCTCAGAATGACTAGACAAGTAATTCCCTATGCATTGCAAAGGAATTGTTTTGATTTTCCACAACTTGAGACATCCTGCTATTAAACAAGGATGAAAATAGTTTTTTGTTTACTAGGGAACTCTTAACCAGTGGCGTGTGTGTTAAAAAGGTGATATATTTTAATATTTGTCTAATTTATATATATACTTACCGATTTCACACCTAATTTGGTTTTAAAATAATGTTAATGACTTCTTTTTTAAATAAATAGAACCATGTTCGTTTTACTCCATAACGGCACTTACTGCCGAAAAAAAGTAATACTAGTTACAACAATCTTTATTTTCTCAGTAACAATATACATCAGTATGTTAAATAATACTAATTAATAAAAGTTTGTAGCAGTTCAAATAGGAATCACAAAGTTACAGTTACAGTTGCATATAGTATGGTAGCTATATTATACTTGTATACAATAATATGCATATCAAGTAGAACAATTAGTGATAAATGAAAGATAAATAGTAAATGGGGTTATTACACATATTTTTAAGTTCTTTAATTTCTTAAAACAGATTTATTGGATCTAATTTGTTATGGTCGCAATTGCTACAAAGTGATCCCGAATTATGTGCAAAAAATTGTTTATACAATTTTAATAGGGGTCCTGTATTTTGACTAAACGAACTTGGGAATTCAGGAAATGCTGTGTCCTTAAGATAAACTCGGTCACCAGGTCTTATTAAGAAATCACTTGATGTGAAGTGATCTGAACATACAACACTATCTTTAGGACTATTTTCCTTTCCTATACAGCTCAAAATGCGAGAGAGCCAAACGTCTCGGCGTTCAACATTCGAAGGAATCCTAAAATCAAATTACCTAGGTATATTTCCTTTTAAATAATGTTGCTTTTGCAATTCATGTTACTTTTTATTTAACCGTAACACACAATTCACGTTTTAAAAAAATATTTTATATTTTCAATATTATTGCACTGAAAATTTTCTATTTCAAATTTTGTTTTAAACTACCGTCTGTTATCTGTTACGCCCATGGTAAATCTACCTACCTGTGAAAAGAGCGATTGCCTCCACTTTTAAAGCGAAATCTACATATAACACAATATTTTCCCATTGTCTATTCACAAAAACAATAAATTCTGCCAAAGAAACTAATAATAATCCACGGTAAACACAACGTTAAACTCAGTAAGCATGCAAAGAATTAATGGCGGCCGACAGTCTTAAACAATAATAAACATGTAGCATAGAGCAGGTACTGCGCGCGCACCTTACCACATGTCTTTAGCCAATGGGAGGCTGAGTTCTCAAAATATTTACAGTAGAACAAAACAAACCAAGACAATGCACTGTCTATCCTTTCTGAGGTCGCTACGGACAAGCGTGCCAGAACAAAAATACTGGTGTTTCTGAAATGTCACTGCTAGCACATTTCGTGGAGAAGTCAAGAACTTTAAAGTCACCGACGAGTTTGTGGAATGAATGCTTAATGATTAAGTCAACTATTTCCATAGAGGAGAACGTGGATATGTCAAAATACCCCAAGCTGAAAGCATTTTTGAAACGTAAGGATGACGGCTATACACCTAAAAAGTCAAACATTTTTACAAGAAAACAAGTCAACGACATTCAGACACCCGATAACACATATTTGCTAATGAAGATAGTGACGGTCTTAGGCATTGCAGGAGCATGCCGTTCTGATGAGTTGTAGTCCAAGCATTATAGAGAAATGCTTACAGAAATTATTACCTGGACATAAAAAATATGACCGTATAGAAAATTAAATTTTAATTTGAGTTTCTTGTTCTTTAAACTCGATCTAATATGGCGAACATGGTTAAAAAAAATCGCAGTTGAAAAAAACGGTTTTTCTAAAATAACTAAAAAAATATAGCACGGATTGAAAAATTTTAAATGAGAAAGTTGTAGGTTTTAAAAAGATCTATCGACTGATTTTTTGAAAGTATCGATTGCTTTGTTACTTTTCGAGATATATCGAAAAAACCGTTAAAAATCTTCTCTTTTCTCTTCTTCTATAACTCGTTTACATTTACGTGCCCATATTTGCTATTTACTGCAAGCATAGCCCACGGCAAGCCAAAAAAGTACATTTTTGAAAAATTTAAAAATATTAATTATTTTTCGAGATATATCGATTTTTTGAAAAAAAGGCGCTCTCGAAAATTGGCTAGATCTTCTCAGCGGATAGCCCTACAGTAACGATTTTCGGTTTATTTTCTTCGTAAAGAGTTATATTATCATGCTGTTAAAAAATGTTGACGATTTTATTAATTTTAAGGATCAAAAAATGACTTTGAATAAGTTGCACTTTTTTGGGTATGTTTTTTTCAAATTACTATTTCAATTTTTATTTTATGAAAATGACTTTTAAAGAAAGAAAACTAAACATTTACGGGTCTATTTTGCTTCTAAGGCGAAAATGCTATAATATTCGTGTTTAGCTACCCCAGATTAAGTACAAAAAAATAATAAAAATTGAAATAGTTATTTGAAAAAAACATACCCAAAAAAAGTGCAACTTTTTCAGTCATTTTTTGATCCTTAAAATTAATAAAATCGTCAACATTTTTTAACAGCATGATAATATAACTCTTTACGAAGAAAATAAACCGAAAATCGTTACTGTAGGGCTATCCGCTGAGAAGATCTAGCCAATTTTCGAGAGCGCCTTTTTTTCAAAAAATCGATATATCTCGAAAAATAATTAATATTTTTAAATTTTTCAAAAATGTACTTTTTTGGCTTGCCGCGGGCTATGCTTGCAGTAAATAGCAAATATGGGCACGTAAATGTAAACGAGTTATAGAAGAAGAGAAAAGAGAAGATTTTTAACGGTTTTTTCGATATATCTCGAAAAGTAACAAAGCAATCGATACTTTCAAAAAATCAGTCGATAGATCTTTTTAAAACCTACAACTTTCTCATTTAAAATTTTTCAATCCGTGCTATATTTTTTTAGTTATTTTAGAAAAACCGTTTTTTTCAACTTTGCGATTTTTTTTAACCATGTTCGCCATATTGGATCGAGTTTAAAGAACAAGAAACTCAATTTAAAATTTAATTTTTTATACGGTCATATTTTTTTTGTCCAGGTAATAATTTCTGCAAATTTAACATTAATCCGTGACAGAATGCTTGGACTATAAGGAGGTAAATTACCTCACTTACGTCCCATTGTCCCTAGCAATTTCCACTTCTACGGTAAAATCCACTTACCTCCTTAAAAACAATGTATTACAACTATTTTTAAATATGGATGAATTGCAGGCTTTGAAATATACCAGTGTTTTTGACTACGCGTTGGATAAGTCCTTATTGCCTAAAAGTAACAGCTTTACAGATCTTGGGATTTATTTGACTTAAAACTTGTTTGTTTATTTCTGGAGAAATTTTATTTTAAACATTTTTCCTCAACTATCAAGATTGCGCGAGTAAATAATTGAAGTGCTTCAAATTTTGCTAGCATAGGTATATTGTAATACCAGTAACTTCCTACTTCTAATGAATCCTGATACCATTTTCACCGCCGCACCATCATCTCGGCTAATAAGGGCTATCTATTATTCATAAACACTTGCAGTCTGCAATTCCCTATAGAAAAGCCGATGCATACGCACAGCCTCTCATCTTCCTGGCGCAGCAAAGGGTTCTTATAACACTCAGGGGATGATCTACATTCTGCTTGAGATTGAATATACAGTGATCCGGGCGGTGAATGTGTACCTGACATGAAGTCCGTCTCCAGGGTATTTTCCCGGCTACAATGCTATTATTGTGGATAGGTACAGGGGAGCTGAGCGATTTTCTTAGAGCCCCCTTGTGCTGCGGAAAGTCCTTTAATCAGTGTACGAATAGTTCGGTTCCGTACACAATTGCTCGGAGGGTAGGTGCGGGAAATTAATATTCAGGGTGTACCTAAATTTAACGTGAAATTATTATACAGGGTGGTACCGTACTTACCGTACTTACCTTAGTTCAAAAGTTGATAGTTAAAGAGATACAGGGTGTTAAATGTAAAATATTATTTCAGTTTTCTTTAATTTATACCTTAACAAATGTAAATATCCTCACAAAATTTTGAGAATTGAGTTCTTTGAGTAGAGGAATTGAAATCTGTTCACATTTTGGTTAAAGTTCATAGAGGGCGCTAGTTGCAGTAGATTGAATGTGTTAAAAATTACATAACTTTTTTGAACTTTAAGATATCTCATCTTTGGTAACAAATTTTTATTTTTCAACTTTTTTTACACAAAAAGGTATCCTTTATTAAAGTAGCTGTCTCGCACCGTTTTAGAGATATTTGGCTTTGAAACTTCCAATGCTGTTGCATTAAATTACAATTAGTACCTACAGGTATTATTAATTTAGCGGTAAAGTTTCTTAAGTAGGATTTGGACGAAAATCAAATAATTGACGTCTTCCACTTGTCTTATTGCTGTCATTTGTATGCTAATTTCTATTAAATATTATTCGTATCTAATTAAAATTACATCTTAGCTTACACATTAAATTGTATACTCATATACATAAATGTGGGATAGATTGCTTCGTTTTTGGAGTTACATGAAATCAGTTGTTTATGGAGAAACTATAAACACTTGAGAATAACTTTAGTAGCAGGTTTTAAATGCTGCAAAGTGATTTCGCATTAAGGATTTATACTTTAAAATAAGACAATCTTTTAATAAACGTGTTGATAAATGTATTGAGGTTAGAGGTGGACATTTTGAGCAATTATTGTCAAAAAGGCATATTTTTTAGTAATGTTTACTATTTTACTGTTCATTACAATTTTTAATTCTAAATAAATTCTTGTTTTTAACATTTCTAAATTATTTTAATTATTTCAATTATTAGCATTGGAAGTTTCAAAACCAAATATCTCGGAAACGGTGCGAGACGGCTACTGTCATAAAGTCAACCTTTTTTGTGTAAAAAAAGTTGAAAAACAAGAATTTGATACCAAAGATGAGATACCTTAAAGTATGAAAATTTTATGTCGTTTCCAGCACCTTCAATCTACCCCAAACCCCAAAATTTTGTGTAGATATTTGCATTTATTAAATTTATTTAATAAATAAATGGAAATAAACTAAAATAATATTTTACATTTAACACCCTGTATCTCTTTAACTATCAACTTTTGTACTAAGGTAAGTTCGCTTAAATCGCAATATTTTTGCTTCGGGAATCTACCCATGAATTTTGGCCCATTACCTCGGGACCTCTCTGTATACAGGATGTCCCAGTGTCAGCGTACAAAAATTTACCAGGAGTTACACCAGACCAAAATAAGATTAAAATTGTTATAAAATATATTTCTGCGATGCACTCTCACTGAGTTACTGAGGGTTGTTTAGAAAAAAATAATAACAACTTTCCGCAATAACAAAAACCCTTTCAGAGATTTAAGTAATTTTTGGGTGAAGTGTACATCTATTAAAGGTCTTTAAAACTGCATAGTGCTTAATTCGATCTGGCGCCAGGGGTGGTCTAGGCCAACGTGTCCTCAAGGTTATGTCCTCGTAACATTTGCATATCTTAGTTTTATGTAATTTGATTTAGTTTTCCTGAATCCGCAATCGATTCTGAACAAAAAATGTGCTCTTGTTTCATAGCTCAAAAATAAAACTTTATTATTATTCATTTCATTAATTCGTAAAAAAATGCATGTAAGTAAAAATTTTATTTGTTGTTATCTAATAGGTAACTGTTATTATATAAAACAAAAATTTTTACAAGCGTACATGTCAAAATTAGTTACAGTACTCGAGGTTACGAGAAATTAACTTAACTCCAAAAGAACAAGATATTGAGTATTATGGAATTTTCCAACAACGAATATGCCGAAAAGATATTTGCCTACGGTTTGTGTGATGGAAATTCATTGGCGGCCTCACGAGAATATCCACGTATGTTTCCAAACAGATGGCAACCTTCACAGCACGTATTCCAACGAGTTTTCCAAAGAGTCTGTGAGACCGGGAGTGTTAAAAGTGGAAATACCAGAATAAGATGTAATTTGGAGGATGCAAACATTTTAGACGAAAATGTAATGATTCTTCCACCAGTGTCCGAAGAATATCAAGGCAAGTAGGTTATTCCACTCAGCAGCGTCTGGAGAATTTTAAACTGAGAAGAACTGCACACATACCACCTATACCGAAAAACGGATACAGTTTTGTAGGCGGTTAGAAAATATCTATAACGACGAAAATTTTCATCAAAAGAAATTGTGGGGCGATGTAGCTATCTTTACGAGAAATGGTATAAATAATTTAAAAAATGTTCATATCTGGTCCATTAAAAATCTACATGAGATAAGACCCTCCGCGTTTCAAAAAAGATTCTCCATAAAACTATGGGGAGGAATCCTCGACGGAGTCATTTTGTCTCCTCAAATTATTGTAGGCCGTTTGAGTTCAGAGAGATACACGGATTTTTTAGAAAATATTATTTATGACGTACTAGATGACGTTCCCTTGGCTTTGCGAAATCAAATGTGGTTCGATTTACATTTTCCAGAACGCTGGATTGGGAAAAATGGACCTGTTATGTGGCCTCCCGGGTTCCCTTACCTCAACCCGCTTGATTTTTTACTGTGGTCATATGAAGCAACTGGTATATGCCAAACCCAGTAACACGAGAGATGATTTACTTCAAAAAATTCAAGCAGCCGCCGAGCAAATTCAAGCAACCGCTCATTTCCGAAGGGTTTACAATTCCCGATCAAGCGATATCAGGCATCGATTTATTGAAATAATTGTTTTCTAATTTTATTTTTAATATTATCATTTTGCTAACATAATTTCGCTTAGGTTCCTTATTTTTCAATTTTATTTTTAGTTCCCCTAGACGTACTCAACAAAATATTAAATTCTTAGAAAACTTGTTTAGTTTCTTCATATTCATTGAGCCGCAGCTACATGAGAAACTGTACCTCAACGGTAAATAACTTTGTTTTTATAATGACAGGTACCTACTAGACAACAACAAATAAAATCTTTACATGCATTTTTCTACGAATTAATGCAGTCGATAGACCCAATTTATTCCAAAACGGTTCATTTTTGAGCTATGTAACAAGAGCACATTTTTGTTCAGAATCCATTGCGGATTCAGGAAAACTTAATCAAATTACATAAAACTAGGATATGCAAAAGTTATGAAAACACGATCTTGAGGATAAGTTGGCCTAGGCCGCCCCTGGCGTCAGATCGAAATAAGCACCATGTAGTTTTAATAACCTTAAATAGATGTACACTTAGCCCAAAAATTACTTAAATGCTTGAAAGGGTTTTTGAGTTATTGCGGAAAGTTGTTATTATTCTTTTTTTAAACACCCTGTAACACAGTGAGAGTGCATCGCGGAAAAATATTTATAAGAATTTTAACCTTATTTTGGCCTGGTCTACCCTCTGGTAAATTTTTGTACGCTGACACTGGGACACCCTGGATTATAGTTACACTTAAATTTTAATATTTATGTAGTTAAATAGTTTAGTGGATATTACTCAACAAATAGTGTTATTATTTCAACACAATTGGAAATGGACTTGTTTTAACAAAAATTGTGTTGATTTTTCTTTGGCGTTCTGTTAGCTTTAAACACGTAAGCTCTATTACCTGTTTCTATTTAGAATTTAAGCAGTATATTTTCCATAAAAATATTTTCTTTATCTGTCCATGAATGGAACATAATATTTTAATTTTGATAAAAATGAACGTAAAATCGTTTTTTTTATAGTTATTTGTCAATCCAAGGTCCAATATATTACATATAAATTCAGAAAATCCTACGTATTGTGAGATAAGTGCAAAATGTACACCATATCAAAATATGTCGCCCGTTTGTTATTCATTCTGGTTTTACATTTAATATGTGCTTCGTGTTTTACTGCAGATGGTAGGTGACACTGTTTTTTTTTAAATATCAGAAAATCTGATTCTCGTTAAAAAACATTGTAGTAAAACATTGAGGACCAATTTTCTGAAAAATTTGTTACTGTTTGATAAAATATTCCTTTAACAGATTGCTTCAAAGATGTACACGATGGACCTATCGCATGTATGGCCTCTTTTCCAGTTTTTAAGTGGTATGACGAGCTTCAAGAATGCGATACAGCTATTTACGGAGGTTGTAATCCAACAAATAATAAGTTTGAGACAATAGAAGAATGCCAGCAAGTTGCAGAACCAGTATGTACAATATATTCTTAAAGCTGTGTGAATTACTGGTATGGGTTAATAATAAAGTTAAGTATAAAAGAAGAATATTATTAGATAATTTTTTCATTTGTAGTTAAAATTGTTGAATGTATATTTAGCTGTCAGCAAAATCTTGTTTAACAGAAAAAATGTACCAAAAACTATATTTTTTTCTCTGATCTTATTAAAATAAATGATTTTCTAATATATGTATATAGTGAGAATAGTACTAGTTTATTGTTTACAGTTACGACAAATACTTTACCCTTCTTCAAATATTGCACAAGAATATTTTAATTTTGTTATAATCTTAATCGACAACAGAAAAATGTGACCTTTTTCTAGCTCGGACATTGTTGGAATCTTTTTTGTGGGAAATTCAATATCCAACTTTTTTTATGGGCACAATATTGGATTCCCGTTTGTTTTTAATTCAGCGTATTTTTCTGATTGCAATGATCTGTCTGTTCACTTCGTTGTTTTCGTTAAAATACCAAATTATCAATTTTTACAAAGAGTGCCCTGAAAACAAAATATCCTACTACTTATTGTTTCAAACGAAATTTTGTTAGTTCGCCTACTATTGCTATTACTAAAAATGCAATTTCCAAACAAAGAGCATTTTACATTTCAAACTTATTGATTTATTAATTTGAATTTAAAAAGGCCATATTTCTCTGTTGTTGATTAATATAAAAACGAAAATCAAAATTCTCAAAATAAAGAAGGATATGCCAAAATTCTCTCGGCAAGTTAACTTAGTTCTAATTTGACTGACCTTGTATACCTTAAGATAACTACCTGCTAATATGTTACCAACTTATCTACTATTATGTTCTATAATGATATTGAAGCTTCTAACGTCAAAAGTATAGTCAATTTATTTGCTCAATGTTTTCTGGGTTTATACAACAAGTTCTTGATGACGATGGTAGTAACGAGGGGATCAATAGCGATTCTCTGATTGTGACACAGTTCTCTGAATTTGAAGTAATCACTGGCCTTAAAAAATTGAAGCCTATATTCATTATGGGACCTCACATCTTCTTTTTTCTCTCGACTAGCATATCTGTAAAATACAATGTTTTTTCGAACTTGTTAAAGACATCTGAATGAATAATTCCTGTTTTTAAGAAAGGTGATGAGGAAAGTATGCAAGACTCCACAAATTCTGTTCGCATTACTTACTTTTTAACGTGTGGTCTATGCACAAGTTAATACCATCTATACGGATTTCAGTAAGGTATTCGACTAACTCGACCTTGCAGTTTTATTATCGAAGCCTTCACATAGTACCTATGTTGATTGTTGATTTTTCTTCAAATTTATTAACATTTTGCCTGTTTTATCTTGTTAGTTGGTAGGTCTTTATAGAATGCATTTGTATTCAATCAAATAAACGTGTATTCCACATGGTTCAATATTTCATAAATGATATTATGGATAACTTGAAACTATATTCAACTGTAAGTAGTTTGTATGACCGCTCAAATCTTCAGTCAGCACTTCAGTCAATTTATGGTGTAGATTCAATAAACTGTTTTAAATATGGATAAATGCAATATTATAAGCTACTCTTTGAAATATAATTGTATAATTTGATAATTCCTTATTGTCTAGAAGTAACAGCCTTACAGATTTTGGGATTTATTTGACTTAAAACTTCTTCATTACCTGTTCATAGTGTAACTCATCAGTGTTTTATGACATTAGGCTATAGCACTCGTTTTACTTGAGGGTTCAATAACTTTGATCGTTTAAAAATTCCATTAAACTTGAATATGGGGCACAGTTTGCTGTCCGTATTAAAATATTTATGTCGGTAGTATAGAAGGGATTCAAAGGCGTTTTCTCAAACTCTTTTGCTTCTGGCAAAATAGGATCTATCTTGTCACTGAATTATGAAAACCTTCTAAATAGATTTTCATTTGTCACTCGAGAATCAATCGACCCATTGTTCAATTAGCAACATAGTTTTTACTTAAGTTGATTCATGGCTCAGTTTAGTGTTTTGACATACTGACGTACTTCATATGTTTAACTTTCACATACTTAGGGTGTCTTCCAGGGGACATAAAATTTTCTCTCTTCCTACAGTTGGGTGGGACAAATATGTACTAGTTTGGATCAGATTTATGTATTTTTTTTTGTTATTTCAGGTAGTCGTACTTTGTAGTTTTATACAACTTTTATTTTTACTTTTCTTTTCTGTTTTTATCTTTGTAATGTGATTATTTTTTGTTCAATTTGTTTATATTTTCATTTTTATATATTATACTGCTTTTTTTCTAACGCCTGTCCTATATTTGGATTTGTTGCGCATACTTATGATAAATAAATAAATAGATAATCGAGACCCCAATGGTACGATTCAAAAAATGAGCACCCTGTTCTTGTTTTAGCATTTCGATATAAAACACGACACGATGTGCCAAAATTAAACTTAGGACGACCTCTTAACCGTCTCAGAGATACTGAAAAACTTTACATTACATTTACACCCTGCATAATAAAATTTAATTATAGTCATCCTTGATTAGAAATGATTAAAAGGGGGCAAATTACGTTGGCTACGTATAAATCATCAAAAGCTTTCTAAATTAGTGTCAGCAATATTCTGTATGGGCCGTGGGACTAGGGTCGATGTTAAGACACATATATATTCCTCTGGGGTTCTAAGGCTTCTTCCCTACTTCCTTGTTGATAAAACTTACCCTGAATTAAATTTTTAATGGCACACTGAGGTTTTTCCCTGAGAGGTCTGGGATTTCACGGGGATGACAAATTTGATATACATACGTTCCCGAGGTAAAAAAGAACCTACGTGAGAGTAATACATTAGGTGCTTCTTTGAAAAATTCAATATAAAAATTTCAACTGCAAAAAAGTAGCGAAATAAAAGCCTTTTTTCAAAATTAAGATACTATGTTTACTAAAAAAAGTAGTTCATGTTATAGATATACGTGATTTTAAAATGTAAATTTACCAATTTAAAAATTATAAACCATTGCGTTTTCAAAATGAAGAAATAGAAGACAATTTCTATAGATGGTCTATAGTCTAATTTTTTTTGAACACATGATACTTTTGATCCTGCAGCATAATTTTTCCAAACAGCACCGATTTGCACCAAAATTTGGATTTAGGTTCTACTTACCCTCTACTTCAAAGTTCAAAGACCCTGTGCCGGGGGTTGCTTTTTATTTTTTAGGGGTGAAAACTACCCCTAATCGAAAATAATTGTAGAATTGTAGATTCGGGCGTGTAATAGGTTGAAATCATCTTTAAATAAGTAATTATGATGAATTGAAAATTGTCAATCCCTAAAAACCACCCCCTATGACAGGAACCTGGAATAATTTAATCATATAATATTAAATTAAGATTTCTTTGTTTGTTCTGTTTTAATTTTTTATTATTTATTTATAAATTTCAACCTTATAAAAACCATCCCTTGCAAAAAAATAATAAATAGTAATAAATACGTTTGTGCCTAAAATATAGCTATAATGTGTATTCATCAATGCTTCAATATACGTATTATGATGATATTTGCAAAAATATGTGATTGGTTTTTTACCCATAACTCGCTTAGTTTATACGCTATCAACCCGTTCAAAAAACCATTTTGTAGGTTTTTTTTCAAGGGCTATAAGATCAAATAAGTTAAATTTTCTTTAAGCCCTTATTTTTGCAAGGGATTGAGCTGAAAGGGCTTGAACAAGTTGCTATTTACAAACATATGCAAACTTTAAACGGCCATATTTTACGTAATTTTTATTCTGCAGAAAAAAAAACAAAATTTTCAAAAAAGCAAGACCTACAATTTTGTAGTCTACAAAATTTTGCGCATCATTAATAGTTTTTGAGTTATTTTGAAGAAAAGACAATTTTTTCCAAAAATACAAAAGTTCCCTTTTCACTTAAAACTCAACTTTTTTCAAAACTAAGCACTTTAAACCGGTCAAACTTATAGAGCATATCACAAGTACATAAATAAAGTAAATTGTAAAGTGGTAACGATTATATTCAAATGAGGTGGTAATTAGGGGATGATTTTCACGTTTTCTGTCGCCGAAAAAAATACGGGCCATCTTTATTTTCATCATAACTCGCTTAGGTTTGATGCTATGGACTTTTATAAAAACTAAAAATAAAGTTTTTTTTCAAGCACTTTAAAAAGGTTCTATGAAAATGTATTGGTTTTTGGTTATTTCACGTTAAACTTTCAATTTTGGCGCTTGACGAATACGAACCAACTTTAAACAGGCTATTACTCCGCTTGTATTGGGTCTACAGACACCATAAATACACCATTCTTTTTGTTTTTTTTTACAAACTACATTTTTTTTGATAAAATACTTACTTTTTGAGTTATTCGCGAAAAACCTTCTGAAAAAGTAGTTTTTTTGGTGAAAAAATTTACACATTCATTCGCGAAAAGTCGAAAAATATTGACTTGCAAAAAAAACTTTATAGAACAAAAGTTGCTTAGAATTAGTCAATATATCCATTCCCCGAGAAGGGGTGGCATCCACACCCAGGGTAAAAGCAACCCCCGGTACAAGGTCACTTTGAAGAAGAGAGTAAGTAGAACCTAAATCCAAATTTTTATAAAAATCGGTGCTGTTTGGCAATATAATACGGGAAAATGGTCATTGACTGGACTATAGCGGTATATGATGAACTACTGTGCTCGGTTCCAGTTTTAGTAATTTTTTAATTTTTACAAGACCTACTAAATTATTTAAAAATAATAAAGGAAAAGTATTTTTTTATTTGTTAATTATTATAGAATACTTTTACTTAGAAAAGTATATTAGTTTCCGTATCTCACTAACTGTAGGACCAAATCTCATTATTTATAGACATGATGGAAATATTCCTGGCACCTGCACCCGTATTTTGCTTTCAATAAATTGAAATATATTTGTGAGAAAACATCACGTCTTTTTCGCGTGCAGGTACTTGTTCTGCTGGGAATGGTTTCCCGAAGAGTTATTTTCGACAGGCAAAATCCAACGACATTTCTGTAATATAAATTTTCACTGAGACCAAGCTATTCCCTTTTATTCTCATTTAAATGAAATGTTGGCGTTTCCTGTATTTCCAGTATAAAAATCATTTTGTTTTAGGACATCTTTGCACGGCTCTTCACGATAAATACGATTTAA